GAGAGTGGAGAGGGAAAGAGAGAGAGTAGTGTGTGTTTGATAAAACGAGATCACCAGAGCTGGTTCCAGAGAAAAGAGAAAGAAAGAGGTCTTTAGTCTTTATTTGGGGGTTTGGGCAAAACCGGAATTTCGCCTTTCAGACTGTGGACCTTGTTCTTAGAAATTCATGAATGAATCATAGGGTACAAGTGAAATTTACTGAGTTTATGGGGTCATTCCTTTTTATATAATCATTAATTAATATTTTTATTTTTTAATGCATAGTCGTTAACCATTTAGTCATAAAGAGACTTGGTTGAGATGATTTTTTTATTTTTAATTAAGGATTAAAATGCTTTCATCGAGTTAATGAGATATATTATGCTATTTCAACTTTTTCAATAATTTGAAGTTGCATATTTTTCTAAGTTAGTGTTCTAGATTTTTAATTAAATTTGCATATGTAAGTCCTATTATGCGCTTATAAGGAAGAAGAAAAAAAAAGGTATTTCATATATCTAAATATTTTTAAAATATTGCTTGGATAATAAGTATAGTTACTTAAAAATATTATTTTTCTTTGTATTAATAATCGACGATATAATAGTCTATAAATTATAAAGACAATGAGTAATTCAACAAAATAGTAAATATTTTTTTTAATAAGTGGTAACATATTTACAAATGGCAGAGAAAAAAATAATTAGAAAAAATAAAAATATTCCCTTCATATATCATTAAGTATTTTTTTTTATGCTTATATATTAGTAAGTATAAGTATATTAAGTATAGAAGTGTAGTTGATGTTCTACGAGACTATTAGTAGGTGTTGTTCTCATTTGAGGAGGACTACAATAATGCTTTATTTAATAGACCTTGGATGGTGGTGGACCATTACATTAAGGTACAATGTTGGAAGCCATTTTTCTTAGTCATTCCAACAATGGGCTTAAATTTGGTGGTTTAGATACATATTCCAGAGCTTCCAATTGAGTTGTTTAGTGATAAGTTCCCTCGAAAGTTAATGTCAACGTTGGTGGAAATGTTTAAGATTGATCACGTGACTGCTTTGCAATCAAGTGGTAGGTTTGCTAGAATCTGTGTAGAATTGGATTTGGATCAACATCTATAGCTTAAAGTGATTGCTCAAGGTTATCTTTTGAGATCCAATATAAAGGACTTCATTTGATATGTTTCAAGTGTGGTAGATATAGACATAAAGACTTTGCTTATGTGCATGGAAGGGGGTAAGGAGAGGATACAATTGTTCAAAATGCCATTTCTACTCTAGGTGATACGAAGAAGATGGAAGCCTAGGTGCAAAGGGATGCTCCAATAATTAATAAAAATGGGCTTTAATGCATAATGGTTCTCTAGTGGACGTTACTTGTTAAGAAGAATATCAGGGAAAAAGGCTTTAAACGAGGTGTTTCTACCAAAAGAAGATAATGTTAGGGCCCAATATTCTCAAGATAACTTATTGCATGGTGATGGCTCTAGGTTCAGAGTTTTTAATATTTTAGGGTTCAAGTTGGATTATGGATAGAAGCACGGTATTAGGCCGGTCAAATTTACAACTCTTGTCATGGATAATGGCTTAAATGATCAAAACGGTTAGTCCTAATAACAATAAAGTCGTAAAAGAAGCCCAATGTAGAAATAAGGAGGCAATGAATAATAGGCTTTCCCGCACCCAAGTTACATGACCTAATAACTCTAAACATGTGGTCAATAAACAAAAGATACAAAGTGTTGGGTTGGGATGATCCTTGAGGCTAGGAAAATGGCGAGCAAAAAAAAAGGAAAAAAGTTGTTGAAGAAGTCCCAAGCAATGTTCATTGGTACTAAAAGTATTGGATGTGTTTTGCAAGAGCTCAAGCATGAAAGTTAACCATGATAAATCCATAATGTTCTTCTCGAAGAATATAGGTTGGGAAAAGAGCCTATACATTTGGGGATGGTAATCTTCTTATGCATAATTGGGACTCCCAAATACTTCCTCACATCTTCGGTGATGGAAAACTTGTAGTGGAACTAGATTGATGTTGATTTCTCTTCAAGTTCCTCCCTAGACCTTTGGCTCCTTGATTCACCTTAAGCTTTCCAAAGCCTTCAATGGATGAGAAGCTTCGGATTCCACCAATGCTTTGGTGTAGAACGCTCTTCAAGAGGCGTCAATCCTTGGAGGAGATAAGCCCCTTCAATCCTCACCACACTCTTCTTGAGAAGATAAGAGAATTGGATGAATTTTGTCAAAATATATTTTAGGAAGTTTTAGATATTATTCTTACTGTATTTTAATTCTGTATATCTGTTGTATCTTGCTATTATTACTACAATAACAATCCCACAATTATAGGGATTTGTTCCCTAGAATAGGCTGTCCTTATTTCCTAAAATAAGCAACAGACTCATGTATATATATATATCTGATGTATCTCATGATGAATAAGACAAGATATTATTTCTTCTAAATTTGAGATGGTATCAGAGCTCCTGATCCTTGGGAGCCTCTGACAGTGATCTGATTGCAGCCTTCATTGCTGCACAACCCTAGAATTCCATTGCAGCCGTCATTGTTGCACAACCCTAGAATTCCATTGCAGCCTTCATTGCTGCACAACCCTAAAATTCCATCGCAGCCTTCATTGCTTTGTGATCCCAAACACTCATCACAGCCTTTATTGTTGTATCAATCTGCTTTTCTGTGCCTTAATTGCACATATTTATAATGGCTGTGGAAAATGAAGACAAGTTCTAACTCAACCATGAGAAGATAGAGAGAGTAAGATCCTTTCTTAGTAAATTGGAGAAACCCACAGGTATGTGTTCATTGACATACTCTGGTAAGTTCCCATGTTCTTGTGGATTTAATGTCTCAAATACACCCTTTACCCATTATTGGATTCTAGACTCTGGAGCCACCGACCATATGACACCACTCCCTAAACACTTCTCCACATATTCCCCATGTCCCAGTAACAAGAAAATTTCCACAGCTGATGGAACCCTTATAACTACAGCTGGACAAGGAGATGTCCAAATAACCCCAACCATAATACTAAAAAATGTTCTTCATGTCCCTAAATTGTCCACAAATTTGATATATATCCAAAAATTTACAAAAGACCTCTTATGTAATGTGATATTTCATAGCAACTCTTGTATATTGCAGGACAAGAAATCGGGGAGGACAATTGGACATGCTAGAGAATGGAATGGCCTTTACTACATGAAAAATCGGAATCTGCCCATTGAGAGTCACTCTCTGATATCCGAGTCTACCATAACCAGCAAAGAAAAAGTTTAGTTGATTCATTGTCGCTTGGGACATCCTTCATTTCGGGTTATAAAGTTATTGTTCCCATCCTTATTTAAAAATTTAAATCTGGAGAGTTTTCATTGTGAGGTGTGTGAGCTTGCCAAACATAAGCGGGTACCTTTTCCTATTAGCAATAAACTAAGCATTTCTCCATTTTATCTTGTTCATACGGATGTGTGGGGCCCTCTAATATCCCTATATCTCAGGGGCTAAATGGTTTATAACCTTTATAGATGATTGTACAAGGGTAACGTGGCTTTTCCTTCTTAAACACAAATCTGAGGTTAGCTCTGTTTTCCTACGATTTGTCTCAATGATTAAAAATCAATTTGGGGTTAATATCAAGAAACTTAGGTCTGATAATGCCAAAGATTACTTCAATCATACCCTAAATTTTTTTTGCCAAAAGGAAGGGATAGTTCATGAATCCTCATGTGTACACACACCCCAACAAAATGGGATTGTAGAAAGGAAAAATGGGCACTTGCTAGACCAAACTAGAGCACTCATGTTTCAAAATAATGTTCCAAAAATTTTTTTGGGGGGAAGCCATACTTACTGCCACTTACTTAATTAATAGATTACCCTCTACAGTTTTATCCTCAAAAAGCCCCATGGAAGTCCTAAACTCATTCTACCCACATATAACCCATACAAATAACCTTCACCCTAGAATATTTGGGTGTGTCTCCTTTGTGCATGTTCACAGTAATGGAAGGGAGCAATAAAATGTGTTTTCTTGGGGTACTCAGCTACACAAAAAGGGTATAAGTGTTTTCATCCTCCATCCCAAAAATTCTTTGTGTCAAGGGATGTTACTTTCCATGAGCAAATAAGCTACTTTAGCCAGCCTCATCTTCAGGGGGAGAATTTAAGAGAGGAAGATGAGTCTCTCATACTACCAAATTTATCCTTTGGACCAGAAATTGGAAAAAATATTGTTGGACCAGAAATTCAAAAGAATACTACCACTATATGTGAAGTTGAAGCTAAAGAGGAACAGGTAGAGGTGAATCAAATTCCTGCACCTGCAGGATCAACAGCTGATACAGAAACAGTAAGTGATGCTACAAGGACAACATGACCTTGGCATAGTGTGGGATGAGTGAGGCAATTAGCTCGTATCACTTATATCAGTTGTGGCGTGGCCTTGGCATAGTGTTAATTGTAAGATTTGTGTGGATTATGAATGTGAAAATGATAATGTTAATTGCAAGATTTATGATGGATTGGTGTGATTGTGAATTATGACGTGAAGATGATGCATGATTGATAGAGTTATGATATATAAAAATGCTTGTGAATATCTCATTAAGTAATGAGTTATGACGATATTATGTTGTGTTTTTCCTTATATGCTTTACATATAGATGTTTTCTTTTCTTACCGTACAATTTGTGGATGTTTTAGGTAAGGAAG